GCTCCCCGTCCGTGGCTGCCCTTGCGGTACACTCCGTCACAAAGTCCGCCAGGGCTTGGCCCTTGATGGCAGGCCTCGGACGGATGTCAATGTTGTACTGGCTTAAGAAGATAGCCCATTTCACCATGCGGGAGGAGCTGGTGGGGCTCCTCATGAGGGCGCCGAGGGGTTGATGAGTGAGGACCTGAACCGGGTGAGTGTGGAAGTAGTGGCCCAACTTCTTGACGGTCCAAACGATGGCTAACACCGTTTTTTCCACAGGAGAGTACCTGAGCTCGGCCTCCCTTAGGGTCTTGCTTACATAGAAGATGGCATGTTGGATGCCGTCTTCCTCCCGGATGAGCACGGAGCTGATGGCTGCCGGGCTGACCCCAAGGTAGACATAGAGGGTCTCTCCTACCTTTGGTTTGGAGAGCACAGGGGGTGAAGATAGATATCGTTTGAGCTCGTCGAAAGCCCCCTGGCATTCTGGAGTCCATTGAAAGCCAGCCGTCTTCCTCATGATCTGGAAGAAGGGTAGAGACTTCTCCGCTGATTTAGATAGAAAGCGGTTGAGGGCTGCCAGGCGGCCCGTCAACCGTTGAACTTCCTTCACATTGCGTGGGGGCTCCATGTTGATGATGGCCTGGATCTTCTCGGGATTGGCCTCAATACCCCTTCGGCTCACCATGTAGCCTAAGAATTTGCCCCCTTGGACGCCGAAGGTGCACTTCTTCGGGTTTAGCCGAAGGTTGAACTTTTGCATGATGGCGGAGATTTCCCGGAGGTCGTCGGCATGGCTGGAAGATTGTTTGCTTTTGATGATCATGTCGTCAACATAGGCCCCCATGGTGTGCCCTAGGACGGCCTGAAAGACTCGGGCCACCATCCGGGTGTAAGTGGCCCCTGAGTTCTTTAGGCCGAAGGCCATCACTAGGTAGCAGAAGATGCCCTCGGGAGTCATGAAGGCTGTCTTTTCGGCGTCTTCCTCATGCATGAAGATCTGATGATACCCGCGGAATGCGTCGAGGAATGACATGATTTCACACCCCGCGGTCTCATCTACAAGTTGATCGATATTGGGCAAAGGAAAAGGGTCGATAGGGCACGCCTTGTTGAGATCCGTGTAGTCCACGCACATGCGGAAGGTAGGAGGCTTCTGTGCGAGGACTACGTTCGCCAGCCATGAGGGGTATTTTACCTCCTTGATGTGCTTAATAGAGAGGAGCATGGCGACCTCCGTCTTCACAAATTCCCTCCTTTCGGCGGAGAGGGGTCTTCTTCGTTGTTGTACTGCTTTTGCCGAGGGGTCCACCGAGAGGCGGTGGGTGATGACCCTTCGGCTTATTCCCGGCATGTCCTCCGGCCCCCACGCAAAGACAGTGGAGTAGGCGCGGAGGGCGTCGGTGATTCCGGTCTTCAGATCTTCAGGGAGCTGGGCTCCAATCTTCACGACTCTCTCCGGCTTGGCCGGATCGAGCGCAAAGTCTTCTACGTCCTCGGCTGGTTCAGCCCTCGGCCTCTTTTCTTCTTCATCGATGGTTCCGGTGATGGTGTCAACACGGAACTCCGTCTTACTTACTTTCTTCGTGACTTGAAGATAGCAAGCGCGGGCAATTTTCTGATTCCCCCGGGAGTAGCCAATGCCCCCCTCGGCGGGGAACTTGAGGCAGAGGTGCCTCATGGAGATGACGGCCTCGAGGTCCTCGAGGGTTGGCCGGCCGAGGATGATGTTGTGGGCGCAGTCGATGTTGACGAAGACGAAGTCCACTTCGAGCTGGGCTCTATGGAGCCCGTCGCCGAAGATTACCGGGAGGGTTATTACCACCCTCGGAATCAATAGTATCGCCGGTGAAGCCGGCAAGAGGGGTCTTAATGGGCTGAAGGGACCCCCTCTCCAGATGCAGCTCTCTAAAGGTGCTGAGGTACATTACATTGACGGAGCTGCCCGTGTCAATGTATGTTCGGTGAATGATGGTGTTGTTTATTTCAGTCTGAATCACCAAGGCATCCCTGTGAGGAGAAGAAGTAGGAGGGAGATCTGCGTTGGTGAAGGTGATGGGTTCCTCCCTCAGCCGCTTTACCGGGGGCATATGGGTGACTTCCCCCACGTAAAGCGATTGAGCCCACTTTTTCCGCTGACTGGTGGAATCGCCCCCTGTATTGCCACCGGTGATCATGAGGATGTGGCGTTTTTTCTCCTGGTAGTGGGGGTACTCCTCCTCTTCCTCCTCCAAGTTTCCGATCTCCCTCTTCTTGCCGAGGGGGATGGTGTTCGGGTTCACCCAAGCGTTCACCTTCGTGTGGTGCCATCAGGGAGGTCCCTGATGAGAAGGTCCCTCCTGCCGAGGGCTCTGGATAAACTGGGACAGATGGCCCGCTTGTATCAAGCTCTCGATAGCCGTCTTTAGCTGATGGCAGTCATCGGTTCTGTGCCCCTGATGCCGATGGAAACGACAGTAGGGGAACTGAGGGTTGATAGCATGTACCTCCGGGGGTGCGCGAGAATCGCGCTCAACGAGGCCCCTCTCCTCGGCAAAATCAAGGATGATGCTGACGGGGTGCGTCAATGGTGTCCGGGGGCGGTCCAGGAGAATGGGCTGTGCCCAAGTCTTAGGGCTGCTCTTATAACCTCCCCCGGGCTTGGCTTGGCCTTGCCGAGGGCGGTCATCAGAGGGTCCTGAAGCCTTGGGGTGATTTGGAGGAGCCCCCGGCCCTCGGTTGTTCTTGTTGTCAGCCTTCGGGGGCTGCTGATCTGGATGCTGGTGGTATTTCTCCACCTCCTCGGCCTCAGCATATCGGTCCCCCCGCTGCAGGGCCCTTATGTAGTCGCGGGGGGGGGGGGGGGTTAATGATGAGGCTCCTTGAAAAGTTGCCGGTGCGGAGGACGGTTTGTAGGAGGGCCAGGAGGGTCCCGTCGTCAGCACCGTCGACTTTGTCGGCTTCCGTTCTCCAGCGCTCTAGGAAGTCCCGAAGGGTCTCATCCCTCCTCTGGCGTATGGTTAGGAGGTGGGAGAAGTGCTTCCTCGTGCGACGCCTCCCGGCAAACTGCGTCAAGAATCGTTGGGCGAGTTCTTGCCATGAATCAATGCAGCCTTCGGGCAACCGGTTGAACCATTCGTATGCCGGCCCCTCTAAGGTGGAGAGGAACCAACGACACAAATATTTGTCCGGCGCCCCTACCATCATCATGCTGTTCTGATATTTGTTGTAGTGTTCCTGGGGGTCTGTCTTCCCGTTGTAGGGCTGTATGTGTTGCCCTCGGTATTTTTCCGAGATCCGGGCCGCCAATACCCTTGGGGTAAATGGCGTCCGGGTCCGGAGCTGGATGATGGGTTCCCCGGAGCCCTCGGCTACCTTCTTCTATAACTCCTCCATTTTGGCCATCATGGCCTCGTACTTGAGGTCTGAATGAGGGGTGGAGGCGGTGGCGTGAGCTTTGTTGGCCTCCATTTCATCAAGTCGGCGTTGGAGGGCCGCAATAATTTCGTCCCGAGGGTCCTTCGGGAGGGTCTCCACCCCCTGCGAACGAACCCGGGCCGAGTGGGCCTGGTTGATTTGGTGGCGAGCATCATCGGCATGAAGGGGTGCCTTGCCTTTGTCCCGAGGAGGACGCTCCTCGTCTGCCCTCGAGACAGACCCTCCGCTTTCCTGGGGCCTTTGGAGTGCCTTTCCTCCGAGGCGGTCTTGGACCCCTCGGCGGTCTTGCCCTCCTCCGAGCCGGTTGAGGGCGGAAGTGCGGGGCCTTTCTCTGTTGTCATTGTGGCGGTCCCGGGACTGAACTTCCTGGGAGGCCGTATCTTGGGCCGTTACCCCTTCGTCATTCCTAATCCGAGGGATGGGGTTTCCGAAGGGGTGTGGCAGAGAGGGAAGTATGATGTTCTCCCCAACCTGGGGTTGAGCCGGAGCCAGGGTGCCGAAGGCACCTGGGTTCTGAGTGAGCGTCTGGATGAAGGCGGAGAGCGCCGAATGAACGTCGATGGTGAGAACCGGAGCGCTGACTTGGTCATCGCTCCGGTTCTTCTTCTTGGCCTCGATGCCGAGGCGGGCATCGAGGGCATTCTGCTGGATCTGAAGGCGCCTGTTCCAGCTCAGCGATGACACCGCCCTCGGGAGCCCTGTGAGAGGCTTCAGGGGCGTTGACGTCGCCGAGGGCCAGGTTCTTGTCTTCTACGTTTTTGGAGTTGGCACGTGTTGTTCTCACCATTTTGGTAGAGGGCTAGTGTTTGGCGAAGGGGGAGGGTTTCTTACTCGATTGTTCGACCTCTCAACGAGAGCACCAAATGATGGATAGTGTACCCGGGGGGTAGCTTATCCGATGGGTTATTACGGGGAGTAATAAGAGAGAAGTCAGAGCAAGTAAATATAGAGAGAGAAAGTATATTATAAAGTGTGGAGCGTTTTCAGCGTGTTATGACTTGGTTACAAATGGGGAAATGGGGTGCTATTTATAGTAGCAATAAATGTCGGACAGGGACACGTGTCAAGCGCCCATTGGCCGAGAGGTCACCTCAACTGGTTGGCGCTGGCAGCCGCATGTGGCCGCATTTAATGCGGCTGTTGAATGGGACGTTGTACAGGGTACGGTGATCTGTACGCATGTGGCGCGGATATTATGTCGGGAGAGGTGCCCTCGGCTGCAGAGGACTAGCCGAGGGCTCTGAGTGCCGGGGACCCCCTGGGTGCCGAGGGCTCCAGGTACCGAGGGCTACTGTTTTCTGCCGTTTTTCTCCCAGTTTCTTAGTTTGCTTGAAAAACCCGTTCTGTGAGAGTTTTGAGCCTTCGGCCAGGGGGCCGAAGGCTCCCCAGTGTGCGCTGTGGGCTGCTAAGTGCTTGAGGCGCCGTAATTTGGGGCCTGTTGTGCTTCCTGGGCCGATTGGGCCTTTATTGGTGTAGTAGGAGTCTGTGGGCCGGGGATTCCATCCCCGGGCCATATACTCCATCATACATTATTTCATTTCTTTTCAACGGTACTGATTTTTTATGGGGACATAGTTAGCATTCACTACAAAATAAACACATTAGTCAAATCTAACTCGTTTGGCTGAAAACTCCAATGGCAAATCTTTGTGGGTCCGTATGAGTAAATAGAAACATCGTCTAATCCAAAGACGCAAAAACTTTCTACAAGCTACATACCGATATAATATTGGAATAACTAACTAATTAATTAAGCTAAAAACACCATAACAAAAAGCTAAACAACGTAAACTAGCTAGGATGAAGAAGGAGAGACGAACTTCATGCATATGGGCGCTTTAGCGCCGGCCAAAGCGAGCACAGCTGCCGGGATTCCCCACAACGACTCGCCGCAGATAAGCCCCGACGCCACCGCCGGCCCAAAGTCCCTCGCCTTCTGCCGGTCAGACGTCCGCCACAGAAACAGAATCAGGCTGCCGACACACATATCAATGGCGAAGTATCCCCCGAGGTAGAACGGGATGGCCATGCACATAGGACTAGGAATGAACCGATATATCCCCATCCTCTTCTCGTACTTCTTCAGCACCTCTACCAAGGCGTTGACCAACACCGCCGCGACAAAAAACCCTATCGCCAGGCGGAGGCAGTTGTGGGGGAGGGAGCCGAAGCCCTCGACGCCGAGCAAAGCGATGCCGCGGTACATGAGCGCGTAGGGGGCGGGGTAGGACCCGGTGGGGTCACCGAGTGGGTAGGCCTTGTAGAAGATCCAGAAGACCAGCGGCGTGATGATGCAGCCCATGGCGGTGCCGATGACCTGGCTGAAGAACATGGCCCGCGGCGAGGCCAGGGTGAGGTACCCGGTCTTGAAGTCCTGCATGAGGTCGGAGGCGGTGGAGACGATGCTCATCATGACGCCGCAGGAGGCGAGGCCCGCGAGGACCCCACCTCCATTGAGGCCGACCCAGGCGCTAAAAACCAAGATGGCGACTTTGCCGTAGTTGGAGGCGAGGGACCAGTCGGTAAGGCCGCAGCCATAGGCGTTGCAGAAGGCGAGGACGGGGGCCATGGCGTAGGCGACGAGGATGTGGTACCATTTGAGAGGGTGGAAGATGAGGGGGACGACGAGAATGGAGATGACGGCGAGGGCGACATAGCCTCCTATTCCTAACCATTTGGGTATGGAGTCTTTCAAGAAGTATTCTTTCCTTATTTTCTCATCATAATCACTGTCATCATCATCTTCTTCTTTTTTGCTGCTGCGCTTTGCCAAGCTTAGGGTGGTGGTTATGATCATGTATACGAAGTGGAAAAGCCCATCGCCTAGCATCATGGCAATGGCAAGGAAGACCTGCAGTGTATTTACATTTTCACCATCATGGTTATCATTATTTCAAGAATTGTTACTTCAGCTTAATAGTAGAGTTACTACGGGTAATAAATTCTGCTACATCTCTAAAAAGTTGGCAACCTTTGACTGACATATAAGTAGTACGTACTTCGTATAATCAAGTTTGCAACTACATTAAAAGTTTTATTGAATTGCAAAAATGGAATGCAAATTTAATTTATAGAAGTTTAGTAATCTGTAGGAGTATATATATAAAAGAAAATTGCTCTAAATAAAAGGAAAACACAGTGATCAAAAAATTATTTGATGACTATGTTAAAAACAAGGACCTTAAAGATGGTATCTATCGGTATAGGATCTGAATGATGAAAAACTATCAATCTAGGACCTAAAATTTCATAGGTTTTGATTTATTTAAATTTTTATTAATTCCATTGCTAATTTTTGATAAATTTTTCTTCACAAAAGTTTATTAGTTTCATAAAACTAAATAATATTTAAAAAATTTAAGATAAAAAAATTAATAAAATTTCAGACAACTTAGGTCCTAAATTGATCATTTCCAATCATTCAAGTCCTAAATTGATAGTTTTCCATCATTCGGGTCCTATATCGATACATTTCATCTTTCAGGTCCCGGATTGATAATTCATCTATCTTTCGGGTCCTGAATTGATGAAATTCTAAAAACAATAAGAGCACTTTAATTGGCTATATGAATGGCGCACAAAAATTAAACTTAATTTTGGGAGGGAAGTACTGTATTAAATTTTGTGTGTTATTTATTTTATCTTAAATGATAGAACGGAGAATAGTCCAGATATATACACGCAAAGTTCAATCCTTAACCTGAAAGTTGTAATTTTTTGTAATACTCAAATTGGGGAAGTTAAAAATAGGGTAAGAGATCGAATGAGGTCATGAAAAGGTATTCGTCCTTTAAAAAAGTATTCCCTCCATCCCAAACTGATTTGAAAAGTCAATATGTTTTTGTCAATCAATATTAAAATTAAATCCTTCGTATCCATAATTAATTAAAATATAAGTAAAACTTGACATCCAACTTAAAAAAATAAAATGAAATTGATTGAACAAGAAAAATCATTTTTTCAAATCAATTTGGGACAAAGATACTAACTATTTTGGCATGGGTTTTGACATAGACTTGATTCACATGCACAAATTTGTGTCAAAATCTTTTTTGATAAAAAAATTGGAATATCTTTGTGCCGAATCCCATTTTTAGTTTATATATTTCCTCTTCACGCATTCAGGTTCCCTATTTACTATTTTAGGATTTTAAAAATTAAAAGCCTATTCTCCCACCTACCAGCAGCCTAATTCCCCCTCTTTCCAATCCTAGCTCTACGGTTGATTCGAGAAAGAGGAAGAGGACATTCGTGACCATATTTGGGCCTGAAGTTGTTCCAAGTTGGAATATATATATATATATATGTGTGTGGTGCTTTTCCTGTTCTATAAATGGGGAAGGTCGTGCTATCACTATCAGCGATTGCTTTTAGTGCAATTGTAAGCACAAAGATCCACAAGTGGTATCAGAGCCACAGTTCCCGTTCTTCTAAGTGAATCTTTTAATACTAAGAGTGTTCTTCCCGTTGGAGTGTAGAACACAACTTTATTAAATGCTTGTCCCGTAGACTTGACCGATCTGTTCCAATATTCCCGTCAACTTACTATATATATATATATATATATATATATATATATATATGGATAAAAAAACTCACTCTTAACGTGAAAACTACAAACCATTCACTTTTTCCCCGATGTGATGCTCTTTAAAAGGTGATCTCTTGCAATATTGGTCGAGTTTTGTTAAATAAAAAAATGTGGTGCCATTTTCGTAATTAAATCAAATTTGTTAAAGAAGGACGCCATATCGTGTTTTCTAGGTAGTGGCAGGATAACCTACAGGCAAAGTGTTCCTTTTTCTACAAGGCCCGATCTAAGGCGACTCTTTATGAAACCAGGCATGTTCATCAACACCACACTGACATTTGCCACATCCCTCATCCACTACGGTATCTGACCCTCCCAGGTACTAACTCTTCTTGTGGGCGTGTTGGGTCATGGGTATCCAGTGCCAGCAATCTGCCAGCTTACTGGTATAATCGATTGTGGTGCTTTTCCTGTTCTATAAATGGGGAAGGTCGTGCTACACTATCAGCGATTGCTTTTAGTGCAATGGTAAGCACAAAGATCCACAAGTGGTATCAGAGCCACAGTTCCCGTTCTTCTAAGTGAATCTTTTAATACTAAGAGTGTTCTTCCCGTTGGAGTGTAGAACACAACTTTATTTGTCCCGTAGACTTGACCGGTCTGTTCCAATATTCCCGTCAACTTACTATTTCGAGAGTATTACATATTACGGAGTACTATTCTCCTTGATATCGCGGTCAATCATGCGCCATAAATATCTCAACGGATGGATAGCATAAAATGGGTATTTAATGCACAACACATTACGTCTTCCGTTGAGAGGCTCCTCGTCATTTAAGATATATCTTGTTAGTATAACGGAACTTTCAAAGGCTTGAGAGTTTCTGTGCTAGGGAGCTCTTCTGTTGGCTATTCTGTTGAAGGATGGGCAGTTCTGCAGAAGAACTCAAGTGTTCCCCACACTTGCGTCTTAGCAGTTCTGTCCAACTCCAAACAGAAGTTTAACAAATGTTATCACACCGAATAAAAATGTGGTTGCAATTCTGGCAGTTGACTATACTAAAGTTTACAACATAAAATTTTATTACAATTTGTGTACAGGGGTATTTCTCAATTTCTCAGTTTTGCATCATCATCAAAATCTAATAACAATTTATTTCTTACAATCTCTTTCTTTTTAACGATGTCAAAACACTTAGTCAACTTTCCAGAGATGTGTTTTCACCTTAAAATAAAAATGATAAATATCATGTTTTTAATCTTGGTGGGCAACATGCATAAGAAAGCAGTAAGTATTATTAAAAGATAAAACAGAATCTTCTAAGTGTATCGTTTATACTGGTAGTAGTCTTCTCGTTGGAGTGTAGAAGACAGCCTTATTAAATGCATGTCCTCTAAACTTGAGCAGTCTGCAAGCATGCAGCATGCCATTGCGCAGTTGTAGGCTAGCAGGTGCTGGTAGAGGTCTTCCCGTTAGTGTGGAAGACATCTTCATTAAATACATGTCATGTAGACTTGACTGGTCCATTTCCACATTCTTGTCAACTTACTATTTCGGGAGGTATTAAATATTATTCTCCTAGATTCTCCGGTCAATCATGTGCTTTTAATATCTCAACAGGTGGGTTGCATTAAATGAGCATTTAATGCGTTGCACATTACACAATGCTCCTATCCGTTAGAGTATATCTCTAAGGGTTTCAGATCAAGTCTGTTGAGGGAGCACTTCTGTTGCGCTTCCGTTCTAGTAGCTCAGCTAGCGATTCTGTCAAGGGGCAAATCTATCTAGACTTTAGTGTTCCCAACACTAAGTCAAGGTCAGTTTTGTCCTAAGGGTGACAGAACACCTTAGTTCTGGCATTCGATTAATCTAACAGTTACAACAGAAAATTCTAATACAATTAGTCTACAAGGGTACTCTAACAATTTATTCCTAACAATTTCCCCCTTTTTGATGATGCCAAAACACTTATTCTAATTTCCAGAGATGTCCCTTTCACCTTTAAATAAAGTAGAAATTTTTTATGTTTTTTAATCTTGGTGGGCAACATGCATAAGAAAGCAGTAAGTATTTAAATAACGATTTAATCAAGAAAAGATTTATTCAAAGCAAAACAAGGAGACACAAGGGTTATAGATTACTTTATTATAATAAGAATCTGTATCCTCCATTCGAAATCAATCCTTCCTTTTTCTTCTCTTTATTTCTCTTTATTTCTCTTCCCCATTTTTGGCATCAGCAGCTTGGAGCAGAAGGAGATGCAGTTGACGAACCGCAATAGGGATGGATTATGGTACATTGAGTAACACATCCAAGGAGTGTTGTTGTTGATGAATTTTTTTATCAACCTCTTTTAAGAGGAGCTGGATTTGCTCCTGAAGAATTGTGAGAGCCTCCTTGACTTCTGCTAAGGAGTCAGACAGATATTGAATTTGAGAAACCACGTCATTGGTGTTGTCCATATTGTAAAGGAAACCGATGTATGTGTTTTGAGTGTACAATTGAGGGTTTCTTCACAGATGTTCCTCCTAAGCGTTTGCAACCTCTGGAGAAGAATGAATGAAGGAGTTCTAATCAACATTATTTATAGGCTTTGAAGGAGTGATTAACTCCTTATTTTGAAATCTTCTTTACAAAAGATCACCATTAAGTATGACATTTAAGTCTACATAGTTGTAATCTCTTAGAGGTTACAAAATCAAGAGCCATTATTAGCGGCTTCTTGTAGTCAGTCCGTTAAAGCCTCAAGAATGCTATCACATTTTCCAAGTTCAAATCTTAACCTCTTCTGATGATAATCTGTACCTCACGTAACAGTAGAGACTGTCAAGGGTAGATAAGTCCACAGTCTTTGATAACATGAAAGTAAGCCCAATGTGTCTCTCAAGCAGTTCTAGTGATGCTTTGGTGACCTTAGACCTCCTCTCGTTGACCAAATACTCTTTTGGTGATTCAACCTTGTTATGTCCTCTGTTGACCTCTCTCATTGTTCTATTCTTGAAAACCTTGTTGGTCCTTAGAGAGTTGTTCTGGTTCAAGAATCTCTAGGTAGATCATCCATCATGCCAAGTTCTTCTCTTAACTTATTGAACCTTGTTTCTTTGAAGGGCTTGGTGAGGATATTTGATGTTGATCCTCTGTTGGCACATGCTCCATGCAAATTTGCTTCTTTTCAACATGATCTCTGACAAAATGATGTTCGATCTCAATGTAGCACAGGGTTCTGGGTGATTGCAATGGCACTAATGTTTTCACAGAGAAGCTTGATCTCCTTTGCATGAATACCACAGTTCCTGAGTTGTTGCTTCATTCACAGAAGTTGAGCACAACAGCTCCCAGTAGCAATATATTCTGCTTCTGCCGTACTTGTTGAAATGGAGTTCTGCTTTTTGCTAGACCATGATACTAGTCTATTTCCAAGCAATTGGCAATGACCAAAAGTGATCTTTCAGTCTAATCTGCAACCTGCAAAATGTGATAGCATTCTTCGGGCTTTAACGCCAATAATGGCCCTTGATTTTGTAACCTCCAAGAGATTACAACCGTGCAAACTTAAATGGCGTACTTAATAGTGATCTTCTGTTAAGAAGATTTCAAAATCAGGCGTTAATCACTCCTTCACATCCTATAAATTGACAGGCCTCACGACCAGAACTCATTCTTTCTTTCTTCTCCAAAGGCCGCAAACATTTAGGGGGAACATCTGTGAAGAAACCCTCAATTGTATACTCGAAACACATACATTGGTTTTCATTACATTGTGGCCAACACCGATGACGTGGTTTCTCAAATTCAATATCTGTCTGACTCCTTAGCAGAAGTCAAGGAGGCTCTCACAATTCTTCAAGACCAAATTCAGCTCCTCTCAAAAGAGGTTGATAAAAAAAAAATCATCAACAACAACGCTCCTTGGATGTGTTACTCAACGTAACCTAAATCATCCCTATTACGGTTCACCAACTGCACCTCCTTCTCCTCCAAGCTGTTGATGCCAAAAAGAGGGAAGAGAAATGAAGAGAAATAAAGAGAAGAAAAACAAAAGATTGATTTAGAATGGAGGATACAAATTCTTATTATTATAAAAGAATCTATCACACATGTATCTCCTTGTTTTGCTTTGAATACATCTTTTCTTGATTAAATCGTTATTTAAATACTTACTGCTTTCTTATGCATATTGCCCACCAAGATTAAAAACATGGAAATTTTTTATTTTATTTAAAGGTGAAAGGCACATCTCTGGAAACTAGAATAAGTGTCTTGGCATCATCAAAAAAGGGGGAAATTATTAAGAATTAAGAATAAATTGTTATTAGATTTTGATGCTGCTGCAAAACTTAGGAATTTAGAGTACCCCTGTAGACTAATTGTATTATAATTTTCTGTTGTAACTGTTAGATTAATCGACTGTCAGAACTGAGGTGTTCTGTCTCCCTTAGGACAGAACTGACCTTGACTTAGTGTTGGGAACACTCAAGTTCGGACCGAACTGCTCCTTGAGAGAATGACTAGCTGAGCTACTACAACAGAAGTGCTCCCTCAACAGGCTTGATCTGAAATCCTTAGAGATATCCGTTAAACTAACGAGATATACTATAACGGATAGGAGCCTCTCAACAGAAGATGTATTGTGCAACACATTAAATTCTCATTTAATGCAACGCATCCGTTGAGATATTAAAAGCGCATGATTGACCAGAGAATCCAGGAGAATAATATTTAATACCTCTCGAAATAGTAAGTTGACAAGAATGTGGGAAATGACCGGTCAAGTCTACAGAACATGCACTTAATGAAGATGTCTTCTACACTCCACCTGGAAGACCTTTACCAATATAAAAGATACACTTAGAAGGACTGGACGAAGAGAGAACTTCAAAATCAACTAAGTAAATTCTTGAAAGCAAATACTACTTATCCAAATCAAGAATCCATTCGAGAGATTGGAAGATATCATCTTATATCCTCCATCCATCTCTTAACACAAGTTCTTCCTAGTTCCTCAACCACATCAAAATCCTCATATACATATCTTATACGAAGTACGTTGGAGGAAAACATTTGAACTCATTCAAAGCTATCTTCTTGTTAAAGAATGATGCCAAATTAACTGGAGTGAAGTGAGGATACTTCAAGGAAGCTCAATGAAAAGGTCAGTCATCGGGAAGCAAGGAAGTGCATCACAGGTCTAAATGTTGTAACTAGTTTTTACAAACTTAGTAGAACAGTGGACAAGAAGAACGAGTTGTTCTGTTAACCACTATTAACTACTATAAAAACTCATGTGTCATTTACTTACTGCTCTTACTTCTTGCATCTAGTTTTTAACTGTTTTTTCTAAAGAGTTTGGACTTTGTGTTGAGAACACTCCTATGTATTGGACAGAACTGGTCTTAACGAAAAGCCCGCGGAACCAGCTACAACAGAAGCGATACAGAAGTGCTTCTTCACAGATTTGATCAAGCCTTTATGAGTTCCGTTAAACAAACGCGATATACCCTAACGACTAGGAGCCTCTTGACGGAAGTAATAATGTGCAATGCATTAAATGTTCATTTAATGTTATCCACCCGTTGAGATATTAAAGGCGCATGATTGAGTGCGGTATCCGGGAGAATAATATTTAATTCTCCCAAAATAGTAAGTTGACGGGAATATTGGAAATGACCGATCAAGTCTAAAGGACAAGCATTTAATGAAATTGTCTTCTACACTCTAACGGGAAGACTACTACCAGTACAAAAGATAAACTTTGAAGAACTAGACGAGAACGAACTTTGAAATTCAACTAGCAAATTCTTGAGAAGAAGAGGATGAAGAAGGAAAGAGGAGGATGAAGAAGATAAGATGATCATCCCTTTTTTTGAGAATTTTAGAAGAGATTGGGTAAAAAGGAAAGAGAGAAGGGAGAGAGAAGAAAGAGGGGGACATGAGATTTTTTTTGCTTTTATACCATGTACAATTGTGTACATGGTGTGTGCACTAAGCATTTTCCTCCAAAATATAGTCAAGCACGCGCATGTACGAAGTACACTTTTTGTGAGGGCATGAAGGGTATGTTTGCAACAACAACAAAATCAAGCTTTTAGCTTAAAAAGATGAAATAAGTGCTTTCAAGTGATAACTTGTACTTAAATTAAACACTTAAAAAGTAAAAGTTAAAATCTGTTTTAATATTTTCTATTAAACAAAAAGCACATATTTTTACCAAACACTACCAACTTTTACTTTTCAAAATCAATTTTTATCAAACACTCCCAACTTTTACTATTAACCACTTTTTCCAAAATCACTTTAAAATGTCATTTTTTTTAAAAAACAGGAGCAATTGCAAACACTCGGTTGATGTTAGTATGTTACAATGGGTTTGGACAATTATACTCTCTTTATTTAATTACTTTTGGAAAGTTTCTTATTGTTTCGTTTATTTCAACAATGTCTAGCTCAAACCTATATGGACCGGCCTGATTATTGGTTTCTTTCATGGTATAATTAATTAGCTTAGTCTTATTTGTTCATTTTAAAAGGTGATTGAAAAATGAATTGATCCAAATTCCAAATTAAACGTAGGTACGTACGTACCCTATATCCTTGGATGCCATGAAGGCTGGAAGCAGGCACATCAGCTGAGTACCACACGCCCTTCTTTGCTTCAATCATTGGCCACATTATTCCCCATGATATTATCGCTCCTATCAGCAACGACACATTTACCATTGCGGGGCAAAGCATCCCCACCCCAACATATGTTGACGAAAAATCAAAGTAGAACCTGAATTATAGGTGGTATTATACATATATGCACGCATGCAATGTAGCTTTTATCAGTTTAATTAACCATGTCTGATGGAAGAGTCTTTGGAATACATAAAAGAATTTAGTTTGCAAGTAATTAATATTACAAGACTAGAAAAAATGTGCATAATCAAAAGTTACGAGATCATGGATCGATTAATATTAGTCGACCCCAAAATCTTTTGGGATTAAGGCGTGGATGTTGTTGTTGTAATCAAAGTTATGAGACTAAAAATGCAAATATCGATTTTTACAATTATTCTCAACCAAACTATTCAAGTATAGTTGCAGATTTTTCTATCATCCAGTCATTGTTTGGAACAAAAAAATACTCCCTCCGGCCCTAAATAAACTTCAAACTTTTCATTTTGGGTAGGTCCAAAATAAACTTCACATTTCTTCTCCCTTCCTTATTTGACAAATTATCTACATCAAAACAGTGCAAAACAGTGCCAAACAGTGTCACAACAGTGTACTCTACGGTAAAGTCAAATTTATTTCCTCAGTTTATGTGGAGTCAAAGTGTGAAGTTTATTTAAGATATGACATGTCGTTTGTGATTGTGAGAGTATTTTTTTTACTGTGAATACACCGTTCACATACAAGAATACCCTCATAGACGGCATGTATGAATTTGAGGGTGTGAACCAATATTTTTTGTTTATTTGGAATGGATTGAGACATGCGTTCACATACTCCTTCCGTCCCATTTAAACGTTCCCCACGATTTCCCACACGGAACAAGAATACCTTTTAGCATATGCTTGGAAACCAAATGTAGGGAAACTGGCAAAGCCACAATCATCTCCGCCAGCAAAAAACCACTGGAAACCTGCGAATAAAAAGCTAAACGAAAAGGTCTTGAAGAGAGTCCCCACTTGTCTCCTGCATCATTGCAAAAAATATACGGAGTAGTTTAATTACAGTTTAAAGTGAAAACTTTTATGGATTATTAGCTCTATGGAATATAATACAGATTACCTGTCATAACGTATATAATAATCCCATTAATTACGGAAACAGTATTTTCACCCCTCAAATATAGGGGTTAATATTGTTTATCTTTTAGCGTTTTAATTAAATCTATGTCTTTTCATATACGGAGTATCAATAAATCAATCTTGGAACCATAAAAAAATTCATAATTAGAAATTATCCAAGTGTTGAATTAAAATGTCAATCTTATAATATTTTTTTTGAAAACATGTCAATCTTATACTCCGTAATTAGATATCAAAATTGCCAAAACAGAAATTTATGTCATTGAACCAAAATCGAAACATTGACGATATATAAATTACTTTAAATTGTTTGTTTTTTTAATTTTCTAAATACAACCAAATTATCATGTCACCATAAATTGACTTTATAAACAATTTCAATTGCGTGTCCTCCACGTTTTGCAATTTTTTGGTATGAAATTGTCGGTATTTGAAAAGATATAAGGTTAAGTTACCAAAAAATAAATCTAACCAACTGGGCCAGGCCAGTTTCTTATACGAGACAAAAAATAATGGATACGTATGAAACCGTAATTAATTAATTATTTATATTTACTTTGCTAGCTTAGCTCCTTTTGGCGTGTGGAAACTATTGATGAGGTAAGCCGTTGCAGTTCCACTTGGGTATGTGAGTTTGAATTTCAGCACCATCATCTGTACTTAAAATAATTAATGCCGGCCTGAAATTAATTAAGGAAACGCAATCCAAACATATGAAAAAGATCGATCCGCCCACACAACAATATACTCCCCGTCCCTATATAAAAATTCTCTTTCATTTTTTGGCAAACAAAACAGTGCAAAACTGTGCAAAACAGTGCAAAACAGTGTAAAACGGTGTCCAAAGAGTACAAACCAAACTCACTTTCTTAAAATGTGTGGAAAACGAATGGAAACTTTTATATAAGGACGGAGGGAGTATTAGAAAATGTTTTAGTTAATTGATGGATGATGAAATGTAATGTACAATAATAAATGAAGGGGTGAATTCCCTAAATAGGAGTATCATGTTTTTTATTCCTTGAATAAGAGTAATTTTTGTCAAGTTTGGCATTACTAGACTTTAAAACATGACATTTTTTTCAAATTTGACAAATTACTCCCATTCAGAGAATAAAAAATATGATAAAACGTTTTTGCTCCATAAATGAAGTCTCCCCGTTTGAAAATGTATGCATTATGCAACATAACATCTACGAAGTAATGCATAAGATACACTTTTATTTGTCTACTAATAATTGCTCAATCATTATATGTAGTTGATGAACAAAATTTTCTAGCTTTTGAATTTGTACTCCTACAGTGAAAACTTTCTACCCTATACTCAAGATGAACTAGCTCTTTGATTCAAATGTTTTAAATTATACTCCCTCTGATTCCTAAACAAGTTCCACATTTGACTTCACACATATTAAGAAAATAAATTTGACTTTACTGTGGAGTGCACTGTTTGACACTGTTTGAACACTGTTTGGCACTGTTTGACACTGTTTTGATGTAGATAATAAGGAAATGTTTGAAAGTGAAACTTAATTTTGAATCTGCCCGAAAAGGAAAGGTGAAACTTGTTTCAGAAACGGAGGGAGTACTTATAATTTAAAACCTAAACACAAAATGAACACGTGTCATCTTATCTACTCCGGGCCCCTCCCCACCAATATTTGTTACTTTCTACACCCCACTACTTTTATTAATAAGAGCACCACCTCCTCATCTCCTCATGGCTCAATGCTAATGGGACGAAGATAATAGGGAGTATTATTATTATGATTAACTTATTCTCGGCCTACATATGTTAGTACTCTAATTTAATAAAAAAATAGCCAAACCCACCACCAAGAATATCATAAAAATACAAAACATATCCTCGTCTTACATACTATCCTCCGTTCCATAAAAGTTGCAACAGTTTGACTTTCACGTTTGCCAACGCACAACTTTGACTGTAATTATATTTATTTACGTATTAGTAAAAATTAAAAAAAAGTTAATATATTGGAAATTTACATTAATACAAATTTATTAATATTTTATACATAATATTTTTATTATATATATTATTAGAAAATCGTAGTCAAAGTAAGGTGTGTGAATAGTGCAAAAATTCCAATGTTGCAACTTTTATGGAACGGAGGAAGTATGTTAGTACTCTCGGCCATTTGTAGTGGAGAGTTTTAGGAGTCCAAAAAGTTAAAAATTGAACTTTTGGACTCCTAAACGTGTGTAGTGAAGGATTTATAGGGGTCTTAAAAGTGGGTAATGGAGTTGGGGGTGTAAGGATGTTTTTACTTGGACTGTAATTCGTCCCAGATCAGACCAGCTCAGACCATACCAAACCAGACTTGGATAGTTATAAAAATACAAAAAAAACTAGACCAGACCAGACGAGTTCAGACCAAACCAGACCAGATCAGACCAGATCAGCAAATTACAGTACAAGTAAAAACATCCTTATTAAACAAAGGTTGGATTGACTCCTAAATGATGATATCATCCATGTGTCATTAAACCTCAAATTTTTTGAAAGTTTTATAACTTTTTTGTTTGTATTCCAAATTTTTCAAAAAATATATCAAAATTCATGAATTTTTGTGATCTTTCGTATGACACTAATATGTAATATGTTAAATGAAAAAATATGAAATTTTAACGGTTGAAGTTTTCTTGAGACCAAAAAACACGAAACACAAATTTTTAATTCATAGAGCCTTCACAAATAATTGAATATTTCATAATTGAACTTTACTTGAAGTAAGTTCACTTGTGTTAACCGAAAAACGTTAAAAGAATTAATGAAATTTATTTATTTTTACATCAAAATATCTATTTTTTATTTCATAATTATTTAGGGAACAAATTAAAAGGAAAACATTACTTATAATAATTTAATTAATGTTTTACTAAATTGAAATCTAAAAAAAAATATGTTGAGTGTATTTTATTGACTGTGCACGGATGCAGGGAAAAACAGTATTGACGGAATCTAAATATTGTTTTCATATGGACGGAGTCCAAATCTAACAATTTGGACTCTTGACCACTACAAATGGTTTAAGAGATTGAACCGGTGGGCGTAGCTCAACTGGTAGATGGGGGTGCCACAAAGGGAAGGTCTTGGGTTCGAATCCCGACAACTGCGATGAGAGGTTACTATGTTAAAAATGCATAGGACCTCTGCAAGTACCAGAGCTAGAGTCTCACTCTCTATCCGTCAGTTTGTGATTAAAGTCTAATTTAGATCTCCATCTAACTGTCGGGTACGTATTGGGAGCCTCAAGGGTCCGTCCTTTTTTTGTTTAAGAGATGGTGCGTACTGTGTACTAACGGTTTCAGTTTTTTTTTTTGAAAGATTGGGTAAAAGAAAAAAAAAAGGATGACATCCCATCCCTGAGGGCCCCTCAACCCCGACCGGACATACGTACCTTCCTGAAGAGGACGATTGAGAAGAGGCCAACGAAGCTGACAACAAAAAGGAATGCAATCATCCACCCAATAGAAAGGTTCTTCACGTTATTGGGAGTGTTCCCTATTTCTGCTTGATTAGCTATTCTTGGGATCATTGCTAACATGTAGCTTGCTGTTCCACCTGTTATATTTGGGACCTCAAAATTATAGATTCAATCTTATAATTAAGAAAAAAAACATGTACACAAAAAGTAGACAATTGTAGGTGTACACAAACAAATAAAAGATGTACACAAAAAATGTACCAAGGAATGGCTCCATAATTAATGTACTCTCTCTGGTCCTTAATGAAGTTTAAACTTTGACTTCACACATATTAAGGAAATAAATTTGACTTTACTGTAGAGTACATTGTTTGGTACTGTTTGGCACTGTTTGGTGTAGATTTGTTTGTCAAATAAGGCAAATAAGGAAGTGTAAAGTTTAATATGAAATGACCCAAAATGGAAAGTGTAAAGTTATTGAGTACAATCTACGCATTATTAGCTATGTAAATGCACTCATTGATGGATTCCACAAGAACGTACAGCTTCTGGGGAAATTTGATTCTTGCATAGGCTAGGCTTTTCCATTGATCCAAAAGGTGGAATCTCCCATCCCAGGAGCCCCTACCGACTCGACAGGATGGTGGGGAGGTTAGTCACGGTGACCCAGTCAGCAGAATGACAGGAGGTTCATACACCCGTGCGCACCAGAGGCTCAACCTTATTTCAGGTTCTGTAACCTCCACCCGGTCGCTGCGGGGATTCGAACCTTGGTCTATTGATCCAAATCTCCCACCACTCGACCAACTAAGCTACCCGTGCGGGTTTAGGCTAGGCTTTTCCAAGTTTTGTTGTAGGAATTGTACTTTGTGTTTGAAATTTTCTTTAAATGACCAAAATTATTAGTTACACGTACGACATGATACGTAAACAAATAAAATACATGGCCAAATAAACAAAACTCCCTATTCCAAACACACAAAAAATAATGAAAACTTGCATACTACTCCCTCCGTCCCAAAATTATTGTCCCGCTTTCCTTTTCGGTCCGTCTCGAAATAATTATCCCGTTTCTAAAACTTTCTTATTTGGTAAACAAATCTATACCAAACAGTGTCAAACAGTGCAAATAGTGTAAACCAGTGTCGCTACAGTGCCAAACAGTGTCGCTACAGTGTCATTTTCTTAATTTGTGTGAAAAATCAAACAGGACAATAATTTTGGGACGGAGGGAGTAGTATATAGGTAGAAGTTTTTACTCGAGTTCAGCTCAATTTGATTCAAACTCGACTCACATTCGAACTCAAGTTGAATCAAATCAAGTCATGCTCAAGCTATATTCAAACTCGAATCTAAAAGATCTCAAGCTATTCGATTATGAGTTAGTAATGACCGTTTAGATTCATACATACTACCTCCGTCCCGCTATGATTGTCCCGTTTTACCTTATCGGTCCGTCCCACTAAAATTGTGTCATACCAAATTTGGCAAAGTTTATGTGGCCGTAAATCATTCTTACTTTATTTTTACTTTATCAATTCAATGTCAACCACGTAAACCACTTTTTATTGATTTGCGTGTCACTCCCTCTTGTCCCATTATTAGCGAAACGGAGGAAGTATATGACATTACATCATATATTCATAATATGGATTTATGCATAAAAATATTCTTATCCTCATATAAGAATATACTAGGCTGTTTAATGTTTTAGACAATGTTCTAAAAATGTTATGCATACTTTATATGTTCTCCGTCGACGTTCAAGCAGATTCAAATTTAAATATGATTAATTGAACTTAATTCATTTTAAGTTTAAATAAGTCATAGACAGTAAAGAGAGCCCTAATATTTAAGAGACCACTAGGCAGTGAATTTAAAACATTAGCTTTATGTTTAAAATATTTATCGGTGATTGTACATATGTGCTTAAAAGTATAATACTACGTACATCAAACTCTTATTTTAGAAAACTACTACTTATATTTGTTAAGAATGGGTAAAACTCCAATACAACTCGAACTGAAATGAATCAAAACTGTATACTTTTCAACTCGACTCGAACTCGGTCTTTCTTTATCAAGTATGATTCAGTCTAAGCCGAACCCGAGCTTGACTCGCACGATTAGCAACCCTACTTGAGCCTATAACTGCAATGGCATCACACCCTGCATGCAGTGTTATGGTTCTTTTTTGTTTCCAGATTATTATAGAATATAGGTTAGAGTATAATTGTATACTTCGTATAACATATACTCCTATACTTAAAATTCAGAAATTAAAAAAAAAATACTCCGTAATCAGTACTCTCTTAATGTGTAGCATGTCTTGATTCAATAGATTGACGTGAAATTATCACAGCACTTAACCTAATTTCTAATTATTGATTATAATCCTAAACTCATTCTTTAATTCTTGCAACATTACGATTTTTGCACTACTCACAGATCTTACTTTGATCACGATTTTCTAGTAATATACATAATCAAATTATTACGTATAAATGTTATTAAATTGCTATCAATGTGAATTTCGAAAATATCATTTTTTTATAATATTTACTAATACATAATTAAATATAATTACAATCAAAATTATGTGTTGGCAAACGTGAAAGTCAAAATGTTCCAAAAATCAAAGAACTAGGAGGATATTATAAATTAAAACAAAATGTGATCGATCTATAGAGCCAAGCCTGATCTATAATACATTCACCTATTTAAAATTGTGATCTAGATTATACGTACTGCTGAAGGCGATGCCGGAGGAAGCAACGACGCAGGTCTGAACCACGGTGTTCTCCTGACGGGTAAACGGCCGACCGAGGAATCCGATCCGATGAAGAACCGCCGTCCAGGACTTGATCATGGAGAAGGCCAGCAGCCCAGCCGCCACATTCAGCGACGGAATCACCCCCGTCGTGAGGTTCAGTTTACAGACGATGAAGTTGAACACCACACTCAGCACGAGGCTCGTCACCATGGATCTCGCCGTCAGCTGCTCCTTCCACGACGGGACATCCGTCTTCCGGAAAGCATATTCCGCCGCCGCCGCCGCCTCTTTCTCCTCCTCTGCTACTACTATTTCCCCTGCATTGTTGTCTTCATCGCGCGGTGCTTCTCTGCCCTTCCCTACTTCGACCATGGTTGATTATTCTTATGATCGAGTATTAAATCTTTTGCGATTTTGTTTGTTATTTATTGCAGGTGGGGAGAAGGGAAGAGAGAGAAGAGATGGCCGGTAAATCAGCAACTGCCAAAAATATTCGTAGTAGTGTATGTGGAAAAGGGGGCGTAATCCTAGGCGTTGTATTCTGATCGAATTCTGCATACTTGGAATTCCGCTCTCCATGGAAAGTCATTATTGGAATATTCAATTCCCGGATCTTTTACTACGGTATCTATTTACTTATTTATTGATTTAGTAAAAAACTAAAAAAATCACGAGAATGGGGATCTCTTTATTTGGATAGGAGTAAAAAAGTTTAAGAATTTGAAAATATGAGTGACATGTTTTTATTGTCAAAGTAGGAGTAATTAGTGTCAATTTTAGAAAATATTGTCTATGTTCTCGTGATGCCAAATAAAGTAGGAGTAATTAAGATGTTTTTACTTGGACTGCAATTCCTCCCAGACCAGACCAGATTAGACCAGGCCAAACCAGTTCAGATCAGACCATACTTGAATAGTTATAAAAATACAAAGAAACCAGACCAGATCATACTAGACCAGATCAGACCAACAAATTACAGTCCAAGTAAAAACATCCTTAGTCTTATTTTGGGAATAAAAATATGATATTCCTACTTTGGAATATACAAACGTTTTTAGTCCTAATTAGGGTAATTTTCCTTTTAAATTTATGTATCACACCTAACCTTAGATGAGAATTAGAGCATCTTCAATGCTAAAACGTTAACAGTGCATACGTGGCATGAGAGATAGCCAATGAAAAAACAATAAATAGAATATCTCTCTCCTTGTTTGAAGGATCTTATATCATTTTGATAAGTTTTTGTTCACAATGTCAAGCACAATGTCTAGATGTAGACATTGTGGTTGACATTGCAGAGAAAAACTTACCAAAAATACATAAGACCGTGGAAAGACGGAGAGAGAAATGTCATAAAATCAAACTTTTGTGTCTATCTCTTTCATGCCACATGTGCACCGTGCATATTGTAAAATTGAAGATGCTCTTAAACATATCACATCAAATTATAATTAAACTGACTAAATCAAATCATATTAGATCAAATTTCGACAGTTGTAAAGTACACATGAAACAAACATTCATTAGACTAAACTAGATCAGACAATACTATCTAAAAAATTCAATCCAATTAAACAAATACATGCATACTGATGGAGTATATGGGTCTAGGCCCCAGGACCCACATTGTAACACCGACCCCGAGCATATTTACTTTAGTAAATTATGTAATGAACCTTGAAAGATGATTTGTGAATTTGCGTAATTGTAAATTTTTATTATTTCTTTTACGTGAATAGTAAATTGCATGTGGGGCCCACAGCGGGAACGGGGACCGCCCGGTGATTCCCGAACCACATATTATATTCATCTTGGTCTAGATAATATGTATATGGTGGTGGATATTTCATTTGGGTCATAGGAAAGGCATGGAGTTGACCGGTTGGTCAAACGGGGCCCAATTACCGTTATTGGCAATTTAACGGATAACAGCCCGAAACGAGTTTCGGGGACTCCTAAATTAATGTTGGGGAATATACATCTATTCTAAAGGTCCATAATTATTAGGAACACGTTATATAATTTATTTAGCCCGATAAAATAAAATATAATTAAAACGGGCCGAGAAATACAACTTTCGGGGCCGATTGTACACACCGGGACATAACGGGATGACCTCCCACCTAAGTGGGGGCCATCCCACGTTTTTAGGTGTGTTAGCTGACTAAATAATAGTTGGGGGGACAAGCCAAAGTGGCTTGTGCGGACAAGAAGAGGGGAGGAAGTCTCATTGAGACAAAACCTCATGCCAATGTCTATTCTAGGCATTATTGGCATTCTTGATTGAGGAGAAACCATTCCCCTTATCCTCTTGCATTCCATACGACCAACCACTAGGAGAGAGAGCTCTAGGGAAGCTCCTCAAAGAGCTGAAGCTAGGAGAGAGCAAGAAAGGAAGAATCCCCACACAAAAAGGGCTAGAAATCAAGGTAAGAACTCAAATAGTTCTTTTAACTAGTTTTATCATGTATGATTTGTAAGAAATCATATGATGGATTAAACATGATGTTCTACACGTTTAAAAGTGTGGAATATTGTTATAAAGTGGTGGTAATTAACTTAGAAGGGTTGGCAAATCGATAGGAGTCGAAACCGCCGGAAACCGCCACATATAGGAAGCTGTTCGTGCTGCAGGCTGACGAACATCGCCCGGCTTTTGCCAAAGCCGGCCGGCTTTTGCCCAGACAGCCCAAATTTCATCTTCTTCTCGATTTGGAACGAGGATTGATCGAAGGGTTTAACAAAGGCAACTATTTCAGCACTTCATAAGGTGAGGATGGCTGACTATATTGCTTATAATTAGTGAGTTAATTTCATGAGATTACCGAAGGTAATTAAATGTGTTTTTATGGATTATTAATGATTAATAATGCCTAAAAATGACAAGACTAAATGTCTAGAGAAAAAGGAGCATGATATACAAATTTAGGAATAAATTGTGTATGTTCATGTGTTATGAGTATGTTGACTTGAAAGTGGAATTTATTATGAAACATGAGGTGAAATCTACTTTTTCTTCATATTAGAATATATGAGTGAATAAAAGTGATATTTTGGATATTGAGATAAATGATATTTTCAAAGGAAAATCAGTTGGAATTGTCTATATGACTATGAGTTGGAAACTTGGTTGTTGATATTAATTTGACTAGTATTAAGATACTAGTTGGACATTAAGATTAAATGTTGTTAAGATTGATCCTAAGGTTGGATTGTGAAATGTTATGCCTTAAGTAGTCTTAAGAGATGCTTTAAGGTAGGAAAGTATGAACTCTAAGTTATACTAGGGGTAGGCCTTAAGGGATACCCAAGATAAGGTAAATAATAAATTGATCCTAAGTATAGGATTGGCCTACGGGTGTGTTCGGTAGTCCTTGTGGATAGCCGGTTGAATTATGGAAATAGTAAGGACCATGGCCCTTCCCGACTCTAGAGAGCGGGGTTGGATATCATGGACTTACATCGTGATCACGAGTTAGGGTGGAATCCGAATCGGAGACCTAACTAGGTTCCGGTAGCGGTAACACATAAGATAGGACCCCGAAGGGCCTTACCTTCCTACGGGATGATGGGTACGAGTCCAGGGGCGAGATGTTGGAGTCCGAACCGGGAGCCTCAGGAGGTCTCGGACAGCGGTAGCAAGTCCCGTAGAAATAATAGGACCCAAGGGTTGGGTTGTGCAAATGATAAATGAAAAAGGATATATAAGAAGGGCCGTGTGCCGACAAATAAATAAATTTACTTATTACAAGGATAATAAGTGGGAAATATAAATTACTATTTATATTATGATATCACCCTATTTTGAGGGTCTTGGAAATTAAAACGTTGATTATACTTAGTATAGTTGTTAATGTACTTGTCAAATATTTCCAAGTACTGACCTCCCCTTCACGGGGGAAGCCACCTCACAGTTTCAGGTAGAACTTGAAGGTTGCTACCGGCGCCCGTTGCTTCGGGGATATTCAACGGAGAAGACGTGGTTCGTGCTTCTTCTGTTTCCTGTTTTCAAAATAATGATAACAATGCTCATGGACATTATTTTTGAACAATTACTTTGGGGGCTTGTATGCCTAGTCATGCCAAGTGTGGCTTGAACAATTGTATTAATGCTTCCGCTGTTTTAAATGAATGTTTTACATTATGTTTGTTTATGGATGTACTATGTGTGAATGATATTCATGATGCTTTGTATAGTATGGATGAGTTGGACTACGGTTGACTATTCGTACTGTACGGCGGGTTGTTGACATGTCCGGCTAGGTCCGGGGCGTGACACACATACTCAGAAGAACAGAAAGTACAAGCCACTAAGTGGTGCCCTCGTCGGCCGAAGAGGGACCAACTCAGAATATAATCCTGAAGCCAGGGAACTTTGGTGCCCCCGTCGGCCGTGCCCTCATCGGCCGTACCCTTGTCGGCCAGACTCTCGTCGGCCACAGAAGCCTCACAGAACTAGATTTTACACTTAATCATTTCTACACATTGTATTCGGCCCAATAGCGGTCCAGTTGTAAATGGGCCTCCCAAGCCCAAGACTTGGGAGCCCAGCCCGTATTTTCCCTATAAATACTTCCTCTGGAGGTAGTTGTAGGGGTTGGAAAAACATTTATTGGAGCATTTACTTGCACTTCTCTCTCTAGCTCTCACCTCTCTCTAGAATATAATCTATCATTTGGTGCTCTCATTGAGAGCTAGAACAATCTAGTTAACATCCTTCGTCGCTACCAAGCACAGCTAACCACTGATCATGGGAAGAACTAGGTCAAACCGCAACCTCGTCAGCAAGGTCATCCCTGAGGATGAGGAGAACAGGGAGCTTGAGGAGGACGCCACGGCCGACCAGGTCGGAGGAGGGGATGTCTTCCAGGAGGCCATCAACCTCACGGCGGACCTGCACAACCAGCTCAATGGCAGCGCCCCTGATGCCCGCATCGGCCTGGATAAGAAGCGCGCAGAGAAGGCAGACAACGCCCCGGCCCAACCGTTGGCCACGGCTTCTCCGTCTGT